ATCACCCCCCAGGAGCAATGGCCATGCCACAATCCCTTTTTCTCCATTCTCCTCTCGGGATCTTGGGCACATATGCACATGCACCCGGTGGGAGTTTAAGTCACCAGATCTGGGACTCAAACTGCTGTTAACTACATGAGAATCCAGCAACATAGCCATTACGCCAACTGCTGGTCCCAATATCGACCTTTTATTACACATATGGTTTGCAAATATCTTCCCCTATCCTGTTGTTTGTCTCTTCAGTCTGTTAGTTATTTCCTTGGCTCTATATAAGTTATAGTTTTATAAAATTCCCTATGCATATGTTTTGATTTTGTTGCCTATGGTTTTGGATTCATACTCAAAAAATCATGACCAGATCAATGTTATGTAGCTTTATCCCTGTTTTCTTGTAGTAGTTTAACAGTTTGGGGCCTTACATTTAAGTCTTTATCAGTTTTTGAGTTGATTTTTACATATGGTATAAGATAAGGCCTAATTTCCTTCTTTTCATGTGAAAATCCAATTATCCCCAAACCATTTATTAAAGAGACTGTCATGCATTCTTGGCACCTTGTTGAAAATCAGTGGACTATAATGTGTAGTCTTATTTCTGCATTCTCAATTCTATTCAGTTGATTTTCATGTCTATTTTTATGCTAGTACCATGGTGTTTTGATTATTAATTTTGAAATCAAGGATTTTGATGCCTCCAGATTTGTCCCTTTTGCCCAAGATTCCTATGACTATTTGGAGTCTTTTATAGATACATATAAATTTTAAAATATTTTATTTATTATTATTTAATTCACCAAAGAGGGACAGAGAGAGAAAGTGAGAGATAGAGAGAGAAAGTGAGAAAGCAAGACACCAGGTCTGGTAGTCAACAGTCAGCCATGTGAGAGGCCAGCGTCTTAACCATCATACCACCTGCGGGTCCCGATATATATGAATTTTAGGATCATTTCTCTATTTTCATGAAAAATGTCAGTGGAATCTTGACAGGGACTACATTGAATTTATAGACTGTCTCAGGTAGAGTAGACATTTTAACAATATTAATTCCTCCAATCCATGAACATAGGATATCTTTCCATTTATTTGAAATTTTTAGAGCCACCAGATGTATCTCTGATGATAAAGGAAAAAATATTGCACTTATCCTATCAAACTTGGGCTTTAGGCAAATTTAGGGAACTAAAACATAACACAAGTGATAGTATAATTAGTATAATTTTTGAAAATCTTGAGATTTTAATTGACTTCTTTCAATGTGAACTAAAAGCGTTAGCTAGAAATTAAAAGTCAATTTAATCATATATTCTGACCAATACAGAGTTTAACCTAAATGAAGCATTTCAACCAGGTCTAAATAGCAGAATTTAAAAGAATTACTAACCAAAAAAGTAATGGACCATAATAATTAAAACTGTGGTGTTTCCAGAAGATTGAAGGAACTAGGGATACCTTACCTGAGAGAAAGAAAAAGATGAACTGAGAGACATAGTCATATGATAGTAATCTTTCAATATTTATTAAGCTTACATTTTTAAAAATATCATTAAAGAAAAAGCATATAAGATAAGTTGGTTTAACACACATAAGAATTGTCTAACAATCTAAACTGTCCAAAAAATATGATGGACTGCTTTATTAAATTCGCAGAAATCAGAAGTGTTAAACCAAAGATAATATGTGCACCAACCAGAAATACTGCTGAGTGGATTGCTTCTGAAAAGACTCTAGAATAAAGTAGTATTTCTCAGGGACCATCAGGTGGCATGGTAGTTAAGATGCTGGATATTTCCACATGACTGACCATGGTTCAAGTCCTGGGTCCAGTGGCTTTTTTCTCCCTTTCCCTCTCTCTCTGGTCAAATTAAAATAAATCAATGAATAAATAAAATAAAATAAAATAATTCTAAATAAGTAAATAATTAAAAAATAAAGTAGTATTTCTCCGTCTGAAATCCTTAGCACACTACCAGAAGTAGTGCTATGGAGTTGTAGGGTGGGATGCAATTGATGAACAGGCAAAATAGATTGATGTTCCAGCTCTGGTTTCAATAAAACATTTCACTTCAATATCCAGCTTCTGCAATGGCTTTCTAGGGGAAGCGAGTGTGGAAAGAAGGCATGTGTGCTTACTAGAGAGAGGAAAAGAGATGGACAGTAAGAAAGCACTCCTCCCTCCATTGGAGAATGGTCACATCACAGTTCCTTCTCCATTTCTCTCTCCTTTCATTATTTTGGGCACATGCAAACGTACCCAGTGTGTTTTTCAAGCTGCTGGTCTGACTCTAACCAAGCTTACAGCCATGTGGGATCTAGCTGCCTTAATCACCATGCCATCAGGGCCCAAATGTATATGATTTTAAAAGCCCCCTTTCACCAATAATGGGGCTTTTAAAGTGAATTAAATAGATAACTGTCCCAGTTTCTCACTTTACCTGTGTTAGCACAACCTACATTGTGTCTAGAGATTTTCATCTTTCTCTAGAGAAATTAAATGTTTAAATCAAATGCCCTTTTACCTAAGAAATAAGCAGTAGCTGGAGAAAAGTATACCTTACAAAACCATGAAATTAAACATTTCTGATTTTTCTAAACTCTATAATTAAAAGTAATGAAAAATGTACTTGCTATATAACTAAATTTTAAGTGAATACAAGGTACTGTCAAAATAATTATATAACTTCAAAAATAAAAGCAATTTCTTATATAATACTAAAAAATGGAAATATATGAAATTTCTATATACTTCTAGTCTTCAAAAGTTATAGATCAGGGCCAGCAGATGGTGTTGTGGTTATGTTGCTGGACACCCACATGGCCAACCGTGGTTCAAATCCCAGACCTGCTGGCTTGAAAATCACACCAGGCACATATACACGTGTGCCCAAGATCCCAGGAGGGGAATGGAGAAAAAGGGACTGTAGCATGGCTATCTCCCTGGGTGCGGGGTGACTTCTCCCTTTCCCTGTCACTATCTCTGTCTGTCTCTCTCCAGTGAGCGCACATACCTATGACAAAAACTTCTGGAAAAAAAGTTATAGATTATTTCATGATTCGTATTTATACTATAGTGACCACAATAGTTGAATTACAGGAACTTTTTAAAAAGCAGGCTTTGAATTATTGAGCTTATGTGGCTTTAAAAAAATGGACACAAATCTTATTGTATCATCTTTCTTATTGTTAATTATTTGTGGAATTCTCATCCATAAATCAGAGATTCTATTTTACTTAAAGTATTTCTCAGAAATAACATTATTGGATGTGATTTTTTAGAGTAATTCTGAAGGTTTATGATCCATATTTTGCTAAGGTATAAATCAGAAAATAGCAGCCCAGTGTGTGCGAGGTGCCTATTTACATGCAAGTGAGGCTGCATAATCTCATACCATGGGAATCCCAATGCAGCATTATTGTTCTCTACAGAGTTTTTACAATTTATTTTGTGAGACCATCATATGCTAAATAGTCTACCAAATCAAGGGAATTGAGGCCTTAAGATAAAATACTTATAAACATGAAGGTACATTAGGGTCTATTACATTCTTGTATGTGCCTTTTAGTCAGGTATTATTTATAAATTATAAATAAAATATGTTTATCATATAATATAGTGACCCTGGCAATATCTCAGAATACTTCTATATTCTGTACTTGCCTTTATTTTCTTATAAAAGGTAATCTATTAATGGCAGAAAATAAAAAAATCTTCTTAAATGCAAAATAGCTCATTTTTTAACAAGAGAAAAAGTAATTTTACGACCCCATTTTAAATTGCAAATGGAAGACTGAATTCAGATTTTCCCCCCATATAATTACATTCAGTGTTTTGTTCTGGACCCACAAATATTGCTCAACTAATATCAATACTTACAGTTAAACTTGGATTCCAAAAGAAAAGAATGAACTCTCAGGTTACAGTTGAGATTCTCTTAAATTGTATTACCAAAGCAGATTACTATTACTGATTAGAAATTATACCTTGGGACCAGCAGTTAGCATAATGGCTATGTCACTGGACTCCCATGTAGTCGACAGTGGTTCACGTCCCGGACCTGGTGGCTTAAAACTCATGCCGGGCGCATGTATGTGCGTGCCCAAGATCCCGAGAGGAAAATAGAGGAGAAGGGATTGTGGTGTGGCCATCCCCCCTGGGGGGTGATTTCTCGCTTTCTGTCTCTCTGTCTCTCTCTCTCTGTGGGGTGAGCGCACGCGCCCTATAGCAAAAACCTCTCCAAAAAAAAAAAAAAGAAAGAAAGAAAAAGAAATTATACCTTTAAGATTTTAAGAGTAATAAAAAACATATGAAAACATCTATCTGATGACCAAGTTTTCTTTAAGAAGACTAGATAATGGAATTAATGTGATAACATTATTATTTATTGTTCCAAAGACTTTCATAATACTTCTTGATTCTTATCAACTATTTTTACAGATATATGACTTTTTATTTCAAAACATTTTATAATTCACAGGGAACATAGCTCCCATAGTCCTTTTAAAATTTTAAGAGATGTATATTTCTGATATAAATGTACTTATTAAGAAAAGCAAAGTTGAGTGTTTCTTTTACAAACCTTATTAACATGCTGCAATAAATTTTTCAAACATTCCTAAGTTTAAGGAAGTAGATTCTAAGCAAATAAACTTAACAAAGAAGCCTGAAATGCTTCTTATAGATTAAAGTAGCATCTAATAAACTTTGGAATAAGCTATATTTTAATTTGACTGTTTATTTGAACAACTTATGGAAAGTGACTTTGCTCCCTGCATGTGGCAATTAATATACTCAACATTTTTCAAGAAATAGGTGTAAATCTGAGACTAGAGATTCTCTTCCAGGGACATAGATCAAAAGATTGAGCATTCTAAAATCAGTTTTATGTTTCTCGAGACCTGGCATGGCTGCTATCTAAACCATACTGGTCTATGCAGTTTCTAAAATTTCAAACTTGTTATATTGAAAGTTGTTGGAAGAATAAACAATACATTGGTATTGTTACCTTTTAGCCGATGACTTAGAATCTGTTCCAAAATAGCTGCAAAATTGTTAAATTCGGGAGAAGAATCATCAATTGTCTCAAAGCAAGACCGATCAATCAGGGTCTTCACAGAAAACCTATGAAAAGAAGATTATTGTTGCTTTTAGGCAGAAGTGATTCGCTTACTTAAGTATAAAAAAAAAATGAGATGAAGGTAGTTTTAGGAAGAATTACAGAAATATTTCATAAAATTATATTTTCTAAGAACCCCCATTTATTCAAATTCTTATGTAAATAGAAAATTTTATAGAACTATTAAGCTTTTCACTTATTTACTATTTGCTATGGTCAGAATGTATGTATAAGTCTAGTACTTATATGTTGATACCTAATTCCCAATGCAATAAGATTAAGAGAGATGGCTCCTCTGGAAGGTGACTAGGTTATAAGGATAAAGCCCTCATAAATGGTATGAGTACCCTTATAAAAGAGGCCTCATAGGAACCAGCAGTTAGCGTAATGGCTATGTCGCTGGACTCCCACGTAGTCGACTGCGGTTCATGTCCCGGACCTGGTGGCTTAAAACTCACGCCGGGCGTGTGTGCGTGCGTGCCCAAGACCCCGAAAGGAGAATGGAGGAGAAGGGATTGCGGCGTGGCCATACCCCCTGGGGGGGTGATTTCTCGCTTTCTGTCTCTCTGTCTCTCTCTCTCTCTGTCTGGCAAGCACACGTGCCCTATAGCAAAAACCTCTCAAAAAAAAAAAGAGGCCTCAGAGAGCTTGTTTGCCTCTTCTGCCGTGTAAAGGGTCCACCTATGAGAAACAGGCCGTCAACAGCTCCTAAATCTCCTGGCACCTTGGTTTTAGACAAGATCTATGGACAATTTCTATTGTTTATACATTAAGCAGCCTGAGGTACTTTGTTGGCATCCTGAAATGGCAAAGACACTATTGGACCAAACTAAGACAGGAATATCTCATTATCCTCACAGCCATTCAAATCATAATCAAGGACCGGTACCATGGCCTAGTGGTTAATGGAACCAGATCCCACATGACCAACCGTATGGCTCAAATCCTGAACTCTGCAGCTCAAAAAACAAACTGGGCATCTGTGCATGCATTGTGATGTCCTTTGTCTCTATTTTGACTGCCAAAAATCACTGCATTTTCAGTCTCAGTTCCAATGCCATCTACTCAATGAAGAATCATTCTCCTGCATATTCCTAGCAAAAACTAGCATTTTGTCTACATCTCCCTCAAAGAATGATTACAATTCATCTTAATACCATCTTTTGTGTGCTCTATCTCTATCTTATAATATAAATTTCTTCTAGCAGAACAAAACGTGCTTTCTGCATATTTGTATGTTCCTCAGTAGCTAGGACAATGCCTTGAATACTGGACACAGTAGCTGTTCACAGTAATTGTTACAAATAAATTGTGGATTTATTTATAAGCTCTTTTTGAAAGAGTGGCAAAGAAATGTTTAAATGCCAATATCATGGCCAGACCAAAAAATAGTTTATAATTTTTATTTCATTTTTTTAGGTTTCTGTCATAGGGTGTATGTGCTCACTAGAGAAAGACAGAGAGCGACAAGAGGGAAGGAGAATGAGAAATCACCCCTGGAGGAAATGGCCATGTCAAGATCCCTTCTCCGTTCTCCTCTCAGGAACTTGGGCACACATGCACACATGACTGGTGTGATTTTCACGCCTCTGGGTCTGGGGATCAAATGGCATTCAGCCATTTGGGAAATCAGCATTTTAGCCACTATGCCACTTGTTAGCCTTAACTAGTTTATAATTTTCAACATCTATACATTCACATAACCACCATAAACCCAGAATACCAAACAGTTCTGTCTCATCAGGCAACTCCCTCGCACTATCCCGTTATAGTCATATCTATAAATTAGGACAGTTGAGCACCTAAGATAAACAAGGTGGGGAATTAAAGAAAGGGGGATAAATATGAGAGCTATTATATAATTACAATTAGAGACTACAAAGAAGATAATGGTACAAAGTATTTCTTAGACTTCAGGCTGGATGGTTATGCTACTCAGGACAGAAAATAGAGAACCAAGGTATATAAAAAAAGATATTTATTTGTATGGGTTATATCTATTATTTACCATATTACAAATTAAACTGATAAAAAATACACACAGTACTCATTTTGCACAAAAGTGACCATGGACTTGGAACCAGCACATGGCATAATAGCTATGTCACTGGACTCTCATGTAGTCAACTGCGGTTCGAGTCCCAGACCTGGTGGCTTAAACTCATGCTGGGCACATGTGCGTGCGTGCCCAAGATCCCGAGAGGAGAATGGAGGAGAAGGGATTGTGGCATGGCCATCCCCCCGGGGGGTGATTTTTTGCTTTCTGTCTCCCTGTCTCTCTGTCTTTCTGGTGAGTGCACATACCCTATAGCAAAAGCCTCTCCAAAAAAAAAAAAGTGACCATGGACTATAAAAATGACCATGCAACGGGAACCAGCAGTTAGCGTAATGGCTATGTCGCTGGACTCCCACGTAGTTAACCACAGTTCACGTCCCGGACCCGGTGGCTTAAAACTCACGCTGGGCGCATGTGCGTGCGTGCCCAAGATCCCAGGAGGAGAATGGAGGAGAAGGGATTGTGGCATGGCCATCCCCCCTGGGGGGCGATTTCTTGCTTTCTGTCTCTCTGTCTCTCTCTGTCTCTCTATCTGCCTGGCGAGCGCACGCGCCCAATAGCGAAAAACCTCTCCAAAAAAAAAAAAAAATGACTGTGCAAGCTAAAACTATGTAAAATGGTCTAATAACTAATGAAAATGATTATAATTGTTACCTTTACCATTTATGTCAAGGCATTGAAGTTTCCTCTAGCTTGTTATAATGTATAGACAAAAAAATTAGCAAGACTAATTTATTTAGTACACTATAATTTAAAACATTAGAATCACTGAGAATTAAAATCAGTGCTGACTTGTTTGTAAAAAAATGCATCAAGAGAATTCTGTGCTTGTACTCGTTATTCTCCTCATTGTATATTTAAGATATGGAGTGAGCATTTTTTTTTTTATGCCTTGGCAAATTGTCATATTCCTTTCTAAGTTTGGACCAGTTTCCAACATTTCATCCTTTACACTTTAAATGCTGTGAAATACCTCTGAGAGGCTCTTTAATGTGAAATCTTTTGTCGGCATCAGTTCCTCTGGGGCATTTTTCATCCTTTCTGTCACAACCACTTTCCTGGCTTCTATGGGTAAGTTTGCCTCCACTGAGGTCCCCAGGCTGCTTATCTAGATTCCCTTGAACAGCAGCCGTGTCAGCATTCCCATGATCAACCATGTCTTCTAACTCCATTTATGTTCAATTCAAATTTCACTTTGTGCATTATCACTTTCCATTTCTCTTCTGTATTTTCCTCTTTGGAATTCAGCCAATTCACTCTTTCAATTATCCATTTCTGTAAAACATCATGTGCATTTACCATTTGAACATAAGGAGGCAGCATGACTTTAGGCTTTGCTTTCTGTGCATGAACTGCATAACATATAATGAGTCTAGACAGACTTGGAAAGAAGTGAAAAAATTTGTCACTGATCATGATGTTCATTTGTTATCTACACAGTCATTGTTGTTGTACTCAACAGTTAGCCACAAAATGTGTATTTTATGCAATTACAATTAATCTATGGTGGTAATTCAAAGTGAAACCATGTTTTTATAGGATTGCTTTATCTAATTAAATTGTGATAACTGAAATCCTGGAATATTTACTACACAAAGTAAGGACTACTTGTACTTTTTATTTTAAAAATTTATCACATGCTGGTATAAATACTATATTTTTATAGTTTTAAAAACAAAAAATTTGCAAGAACAGCATAGCTTACATATTCGCAAATAAATGTTTAATCTGTTTAACAGTAGATAATTAGATTATTCTACTGCACATTATGTAGCTTTTGGGAAACTCAACTATAAACTTTTTAGAGAATGAGAATTAAAAAGGTAAATAATGTCTTGGAACTGTTAAGAAAATAATTTGGCCTTTTAGGCTGCTGAAACTTCCAATTCAGGAGCACACTTTGAGAACCTCTACGCTAAGGCATCCTTTGTATATAATGAAACAATTCTTCTGTACAACTAGAAGGGTACTTATTATGTAACATTAGGTATCCTCAAGAGAACTGAGAAAATAGTTCTCAAATCATTTCCAGTCTTCTTTGATTCAAATAACCCTGATTAAGAAAGGCTGAGAAAGAGTAATATTTAGCTACACAGTATTATCTACAATAGCAACTGGATCTCAATGGAGGAAGCTATATGTAATAATAAGGAATGACGAACATCCAGGAAGTAACCCTGGTGAAGTTGGTCTCTTGTACCTAAAGGATAGTCAGTTAGATGAACAGCAAATGTAATGTATAAGTAAATCAACAGAGACAACAAGAAGATAAAGATAAACCAGATCTTGGGAACCAGCAGTTAGCGTAATGGCTATGTCGCTGGACTCCCACGTAGTCGACCGCGGTTCATGTCCCGGACCCGGTGGCTTAAAACTCACGCTGGGCGCGTGTGCGTGCGTGCCCAAGATCCCGAGAGGAGAATGGAGGAGAAGGGATTGCAGCGTGACCATCCCCCCTGGGGGGTGATTTCTCGCTTTCTGTCTCTATGTCTCTCTCTGTCTGTCTGGTGAGCGCACGCGCCCTACAGTGAAAATCTCTCCAAAAAAAAAAAAAGATAAACCAGACCTTTTGTAAAGTATTCAACAGGTCAGTTTTATGGCCTAATGGGTAAGGCAGCCAGATCTCACATAGCTAACCACACAGCCACTTGGGGCTAGGAGCTTCAGAAACAGGCTGGGTACGTGAGTGTGTGTGTGTGTGTGTGTGTGTGTGTGCACGTGTATGTGACTGAAATTCTGAAGGGAAGGAGAAATGGAGAAGAGATTGCGGTAAGACATGCCCATGTGGGCAGGGTGGGGAGTAGGTACTTTCTAGATTTCCCTCTCTGTCTCTGAGAAGTGCTTGTGCTCTCTGGCAAAATATAAAAAAATGAAAAAATTGGAACTTGACAGCCTTGGTGGTGTAGGCAGTAGGGAAACTGCTGCGTGATGCTGGGAGTCATATAGGAA